CCTCCATTATGATTGTTTAGTGGGAAGATCTACACGATTTTTATAATTAATAAAAGAGTCAAAGTCGTAACATTTAAAAAAAAAAAAAAAAAAAAACTATTTATTCGTTTTGCGTGTAGCACGTCTATACATTTTTAATGTATTTTTTTATTTATTTATTTGATAGTAACAGAATACAAAGATATTACAAGACATTAGAATAGGCAATTAAACTAGAACGACAATTGTTCGCAACATAGATTTTTTTGCACTTGAGCTTGACTTATGTTTTGAATTGAGCATCTTAGATAGCAAAACCCCAAACGTTTAAATCCTTTGATTCTCCATTGGAGGAGATGTCTTCAAAATTAATTATTGTAGATCAGAATAGCAAAAGACGGAGTATACCATAATCATAGAAAAGCTCAAAGTTTAAACTAGAGGTGATCATAGAGTAATTTTGAAGTTAATGGGCCCAAAAACTTTTGTATACACCCGATTTACACTAATTTTACTGTACATCGAGCAGTATAAGGGTAACTTTTACCTAATTTTAGGGTAACTTTTTGCCTTTTTTTGGGTAACTTTTAACATAATACAATTTTTATATAAATAGACAATAAGAAAGGTTTTATAATGGTAATTTAATTACATTTAATAATGAATAATTGATTTTTAGTAATTTAAAATGTGATCCTTTACTAATAATTTTTATTTGTATTGGATTACTTTTATGCATATTAGGGTAACTTTTATTTATTTTAGGGGTAACTTTTGATCAATCTAGTCTATCTTTATAGTGGATGTACAATAATTATCGTATACCCGATTTTTTTAAAGTTTGTGGCTTCGAGGAGTAATTTTAAGTATTTATAAGGTAAAAGTAAAACTGATAAAAACCAAATATAGTAAATGTGCAAGAATTTTATATAAACAGAATAAAATCGCTAGTGTTTCTATTTCTATTGATTCAACTTTTTAGCTTGTTGGTTAAAACTTAAAATAAATAAAGCTTAATGAGATCCAAAGTTATGATCTCTGTTTGTGCTGCATATACTTAGTACACCATTAGTTATTTAGACTGTGAGTTTTTGGGTTATTGGGCAATATATGACTATTAATTAACAACTAAGCTATTCACCAATTGATAATTAACACTGACTAATAATTAACAAAATCATTTTATGGATAATTGGATAATGTGGCTACTGTATATATGAATGAATTATTGAGAAAACTTTACTGATTGTATATCCATATATATGTGTTTAAGCCTAAATCATTTTGTGGGGAAGACTTCCTAAAACACCACATAATCTTCTTTCCACTTGTCCACTTTTCTTGGAATTTGATGGAATAAAAATACTTAACAATGAAGTACTATACGTATAACTGTATAAGAGACTACACATTTAAATTCGTAGCTCACACTAAATTTATAAAGTTTTTTATTTTTATTTTTTATTTTTTTTTCTCCTTTTTGTGGGGTTGAAGGATTATTAGATAAATAATGCTAGGAGTTGTTGTCAATCAAGCTAAAGCTTCACTCAAGTCTCTTCTCTCTAACTAATCAAAGTCTGGCCTTGATTGGGAGCAGCATGAATGCATGATTGTTTGTTTGTTCCATATATAGAGAATGATTAGCATTTCTAACTGATAAACATTGTTATTACGGACGTGAGAAAGAACAAATTAACGAATGTAAAATAAATAAATAACACACATATTTATGTGGTTCATCAACAATGAGTTGGCTACGTCCACGGACAGACGAAAGGAAAAACTTTATTGATCTTGAGGAATTCTAGATTATAGATTGATAATGAATATCACCATAGTGGGGCTAGGAAATAACTTAAGGGTAGTTATATTAACCCATACGCTAGAAAAGATAATTTTATTTGAATAAAGCCCACGAACAATGTATCCAAAATTGGTCAAAACTGCTGAGGCACAGACCGTTTCAAAGGCACCAGAACTAACGTGCCTCGTCGAAACTCCGTATAGGCATAGACGTGCTTCCTGATGGCACGGACGACGTGCTTGGCCGAATACATGTGAAGCTCGCTAAGGCATGAACGTGCCTATTCAGTCTTCAATACTTCTTCGTCGAGGCATGTTCATGTCTCCCCAAGGCATGGACGTAATTATAACATGCCCTACTTCTTAGTTCCCGACTCAAGGCTATCGATTCAAGGCATATTCCTTACAAGTATATAAGCCGATCATGGCTTTAGCCATAAGATTATAATTATGCTTAGCTTAGCTTAGCTTATGGTTGAGTTGGTCTAGCTTATGGTTGAGCTGGTGATCTAACATGGTAGTATCAAAGTCAGCGTGACACAAAGGACACAAGTTCGAATCTCATCCACCATCATTTTAGAATAGAATAATTTGTGCTCGGTATGAGTGTGTGGAGTTCATGCGCATCCACAGTTCAAGCCCAAAGGGCTCTCATGTGAGGGGATAAGATAGAGCATATAAACCGATCTTGAATTTTAACCATTAACTTAAGTTTTTGGTTGAATTAGTCCTCTAACACTAATTACTAATATAAAAATGCTTAATTATTATAATCCGCAATACTAAACACCTTCGATCAAAAGGTAATAATAATAACTTAATAAGCTAGAAATCATCTTACTATTGTTATCATCATTTAAGACAAGTTATAGATCACAACAAACTTCTCCAATAATTTCTCCCTATTTGAAACACACCAATCATGTAGTTACACATATTATTTGAAAAAGCTAAAGTTGAAAATTGAAATGGACAGAAACAAACCTCTTTACCTTAAAGCTAAGATGGTGGCAGGTTTATATTAAATTTGAAAACCTTTAATTAATTCATATAGTATATTCATTGCTACTAATATTGGGAGCTCCATTAATATAAAGTTCCTACTTTTCAACTCATAAAACTAACCTTTGTCTTCAGCTTCATCTCTAGTTCATTCCCTACCTATAAATACACCTTCTATCATTCCTTTTTCCACCACACCAATAACAACTTCTTCCATAAACACAACATTCTCACAAACATCTTCTAAATTTTTAATATTAAAGGAAATTTTGTGAAAAACTACCTATTATAATCCAGAATTTGCGAGAAACTACCTATTAAAAAACACTACTAGAAAACAGCTTAATTCCGACGGAAAAATTCCGTTGGAAACCGTGTTTACGACGGAATTCCGTCGGAAGGTGTCGTCGGAAAAGTATTTGTAGGAAAATTGATATTTTACGACGGAATTTCCGTCGGAAACACTTTTCCGACGGAAATTCCGTCGGAATTTAGCGTCGAAAGAGGTTTTTCTGGTCTGGAAAAGTCCGTCGGAAATTTTCGACGAAATTCGATTCCGTCGGAATTTCCCGACGGAAATTCCGTCGGAAATTTATTAAAAAAAAAAAAAAAGCCCGCACCACCAACCCCCACCACCAGCTACCACCCCATACCACCAGCCAACCCAACCAGCCCCCACCGCACACCATCACACTCACACCGACACCACCCCACTGCACACCACCACTCGCATCGACACCACCACACTCGCACCGACACCACCCCACTGCACACCACCACACTCACACCGACACCACCACACTCGAACCGACACCACTCCACTGCACACCACCACACTCACACCGACACCACCCCACTACACACCACCACACTCACACCGACACCACCACACGCACACAATAACCCCAAAACACCAAACTTCGCAAAACCCAACCCAACCTTAAACCCAGCCACCCCTAACCGAGCCCACACTATACCCACCCCTAACAAATGCCCACCAAAACCCACACCACCCTGACCGAATACACTAACCAAGCCACAACCACCACGAAAATCACCATAATACGACCCAGACCACAGCCACCACCGAAAATCACCCAAATTTAGATCCACCACCACCGAAAATCATCCAAAAATTAAATAAAAAAATCAAAATTAAATATTAGAACGTACCTTAAGATAAAAAAAACTTCGAAATTAACCACGAACTTGGTTTAACAAGGCCAAATTCGACCACGAAAACCCTAGATCTAGGATTTTCATGGTCGAATTTGACCTTAAAAACCATTAATTTGACTAACATCACCATAAACGACATAAAAGGAGGAGAGCTTGCTTGAGAAGAGAGTAAGGAGGAGGAGGAGAGGAGAGAGAAAGCGTGAGAAGAGAAGGAGGAGGAGGAGAGAGAGAGCGTGAGGAGAGAGAAAGGGAGGAGACAGAGAGCGTGAGGAGAGAGAAAAGGGAGGAGAGAGGCGGATTGTGAATGAGGGGGGTTGGGGCGCCGTTTTAGTATTAGGGTTTTGGGGTTTTTTCTTTTTTTTAAAAAAAAAAATTAAATTCCGTCGGAAACGGGTTATAATCCGTCGTAAATTTACGACGAAATTAAATTCTGTCGGAAATTATACCATTTACGACGGAATTTTCCGTCGTAAATGGTATAATTTCCGACGGATTAAAAATCCGTCGTAAATTTACGACAGAATTTAATTTCGTCGGAAATTTCGTACTTTCCGACGGATTTTCTTGTCCGTCGGAACGGTTCCGTCGGAATTAAGCTGTTTTCTAGTAGTGAAAAATGTTGTAATTGACTACCTAAAATTTTTAAAATGTTGTAATTTACTACCTTTACGCCGGATTATGAAGGAGTTTGACCAAAATTCTCCGGCATTGACTTGGTCACGTGACACTTGGTGAAAGAAAAGGGTCATTAAGTGTCACGTGATGGTCACATGACCAAGTCAACACCGGAGAACTTTGGTCAAACTCCTTCATAATCCGGCGTAAGGTAGTAAATTACAACATTTTTCGAAAATTAGGTAGTCAATTACAACATTTTTTTTAATAGGTAGTTTCTCGCAAATTCCGGACTATAATAGGTAGTTTTTCACAAAATTTCCAATATTAAATCTAAGTTAGCTTAGTTTACTACAATTCCAACAATCTAGGAAAAAAACATGGAGCAAAACCTACCAATAATCACAAAAAAGTTATACAACATGGCTAAACTAGCCATCTTCATGCTACGAAAAGGTTTGTCCAAGAAGAAATTACTCTTGGACCTCAACTTGATGATGAAGCGAGGTAAAAAGACCTTCACCGTTGGCAAAGTCTCCATCACTCGAGGCGGTGTTATTGGTTTCGAAGCTCAACAAGAGTACGAGTTCAGTTGTAAAAACACTCTCTTATACCATCATTACTTTACCAACAAGAAAAAACAATGCCAAAACTATTACTATACTCCCTCACCAAATTTTGAAGACACCAATGAATTAGAAGCTATTAACAAGGTGCTCGAGGCCATAGTTTCGTGTAAAGATAGCGGTGTCCGGCCTCTAAGGGTAACAGACTCTCCATTTCCTTCGCAAAATGAAGATGATAATTATGGTGATGAACGTGTGGATGATGCTGCCGAGGAGTTTATTCAGAGGTTTTACTCGCAACTTAAGGAGCAAAGTTGCTGCTAGTTAACAATATTTTGCGATGAAATTAGTTAAAGATAATATGAATTATGAATTATAATACAATTCAGAAACTGTGATGCTTAATATGTGCGTCCGTTGATGAATTATGGTAGATGTTGTCCATTGTATATGCAGTTTATAAGGATGTACTTTGGACTGGCTAATATATGTATCCTATCTTTTCGTACCTATATATAGTATAAATTGTATGATTAGTTATATTAGGAAACTTTATGAATTTGTTTAAAATTATTGTGTAATTTGGTATATGAGACAAAGGAGAGAAAATCAATTTACCAAACAATACAAACAGTATAATGAAGTTAGTAACGCTTCAAACTATTTTTTTTTAAGACATTTTGTGAAGATCTAACTTATACAAGTCAATTTTTTTTTTTTTTGAAAAAACTACCTTAAAAAATTGTTATAAGAAACTATCTTTTAAACAATTAATGTTGTAATAAACTACCTTATAAAATAATTAATTTTGTAAATAACTACTTTTTGCCGAATTATTGCACTGAATAAGAGACTTTTTTTTTTAAACGGGAATAAGAGACGTTTAATGACCCATTTTCAATCATTTTTTCTCATTTTTCCACCCAATTTCTCAATAGCCCCCTTATAACTCCTGATTCCCCTTCTTTTTATTGTTAAATTAAGCACACGGTAGCAAATTACAACATTTAGTTTTTATAAGGTGGTTTCTTATAACAATTATTTCATAAGGTAGTTTTTCACAAAATGTTTTTTTTTTTTTACTAACAATATACTTACTTGTATAAGGTAGTTACTCTATTAAACTCCAAAATCAATCAATAATTTTTTATTAATTGTAATTATAAAACATGGAAAAATAAAGGTAATTATTAAGTTAAAAAGCCATAATATTTCAATTCATTACTGCTACGTCTGCTAATATCAAACATATTGACGCCAATGACAACTAAACTTAACCCCAACCCCAACCCCAATTATAATACAATCACTCAGTTGAAAATTGAAGAGAGAAAAATCTATTCTTGAATTAATGACTTTCACAAGTAACAATAAATTGTCTATATCAATTATCAACTAACATTTTAATGAAAAAAAATAGTTAACATTTATTTATTTAAACTACAACATGAACATCTTTATACTTTGTTGCTTTGCTAATGAATCACAATCTCAAATTTCAATAGTTGGCAAAGTATACTAATTATTATTTCACTTTATTATTTAGCAAAAGTATACTAATTAACAACATACGCATTTATTGACCCTTCTTTATAAAGTATATATGGAGTATTTCATATACGTGATTAATTTTCATTACGACTTTATTTTCCTTATGTAATACTCGGACCAATATATATTGTTACAATTGATTTCTCAGAGGAAATAAATTGAAATTATAGAGATTGATAAAATAATCCAGAAAAAGATAAGACAAAATAAGTACTAAAGAATAACAATATTTAACGTGGAAAAATCCTCAATTGAATTAAAAAAAAATTAAAAAAAAAAAAAACTCACGACGACGAGCACGTAAAATATTCACTAGGGTGAATATTAAAAGAGAACTCTCACTATAATAACTCACAAAAAAAGTGTTACAAAAAGGGAATAGTGAATTTATAGAGAAGGTAATAATTTACAAGGAGAATATATAAGAAAGAAGGCTAGTGTATAGGTATGACTATTTGTGTGCGTATGTATGTATATGTCTTGAATAAATGTCCATGACTTATATTTATAGTTGTGGCCTTGTAGATGAAGCTTAATTGGAAGAAATGGGAAAATTCCAAAACCACCTTCATTATTCTTGTATCCATAATATTCCAGAATGTTCACGAACCATGTATTCTAGTTGTTTCTAATTATGTCAAGAATTCTCTAGAGCGATAAAGTAAATAATTCTAGAGAATATATGGGCAAGGACTAACCTTGCTTGATTTTTTCAAAAACATCTCGAATATGCATAAATACTCCACCTAAATAACACGTTTATAAAATTTGGGCCACACCCAACATATATAATATATTTATTGATTCTAATGAAAGCAAGAGCAGATTTATATTGTTAACTCGCCCACACCTACACCCACATGGCCGGTGTATTCAATCACTTGGAGGATTATTTGTACATGATGTTAAATTACGTTATTCACTACAATGCAAATTATTTTACCGAACATAGCTTTTTTTTTTTTTAACGGATTTTACCGAACATATATAGCTTAATTACAATCAATTGTGAACTTTTTTATATGAACAAACTAAAGTTCGTTGAACATGATGGTGTTCAAATTTAACTCATCACTTATCTTAAATTTGTCAATGTTCTAGAATCTATTACTCTAGGAGTAATTTAGTTTTAATATCTCACCATTTTAAAAAGAGAAAATATCAATATCTCCCTTAAGTTATTGCTATTCAAAAATCTCTTTCACCCTAAGATACAAGAAGTGACTACATACAAATAATCATGCATATTCCATTGAAGTTCCCTGCAAAAAAGTTACAATTGTACTATTTGTACAAATTAGCTAACCAAAAAAGGGCGTTATGGCCTAACTAGCTAGGTTAGGAAATTCAACACGTTTAAAGTTCAAACATGTCTCAAATGAACCACTTTTGCATGCATTATTACAACTCAATTCATTATGTTAAACGTGCCGTTAATGAAAAATATTAATATTAAGGTAATAAGGTTAAAAAAAGTGTTTCAGTCAAAAAGTTAAGAAAAGTAGAAGAATTTTGATTATATATTTGGTTTACTCATTTTATCTCTTTCTTAAAATTAGAGGTGTTAAAAGTTGGCCCGAATTGAACAATTGACCCGAACTCGATATTATGACCCACATATTTGGATCCGAGAAAATGGTGACCCAAACCCGATATGATCCGACCTAAAACTAATCTAAAACACGAGTTAACCTAGTAGTTGAGATCCGAACCCAAACCCGAACATGACCCAACCTGGAGATGACCCGACCTAAATATAATATGTAAATTATTGACCTAAATAGAGATTGACCCAAACTTGTTTTAACTTGTTAAAACCCGAATTTAACCCGACCTGTTATTAAACTAACCCGAATTCAATCTGACCCTAACTAACCCAATCTGAATTCCACTCGACTTGTTTTTTACTTGACCCAAATTCAACCAAACTTGTTCCTGACCTATCTCAAATTCCACCTGATCTGTCTTTGATCGTACCTAACTTGATTTCAAATCACCTCAAATTCATTTATCACCACCTTTTTTTTTACATAGTTATATAGTTATGTACTCCCTTCTAAATTATTCCTACTAATTAAGATTATGATGTTCGTGGTGCAAATAAGTTTATAAGATGATGTTACATGAATTTAGTGACAATTTGTGTCATATGCATGTGCCAATGAGTTACTATGAGAAGCTATAGTCAATACATATTACTCCTTAGACAAATAATTATAGCTATTTTCTCATTTCTATATATATATATATATATATATATATATATATATATATATATATATATATCTGAACCCGATCATGACACGACGTCTTTGAACCCTTGAAAATGGTGATCCAATCAGAATATGACCCAACCTGAAACCAAATTGTGACCCGAGTTAACCTAGGTTTGTGAGAACCTACCCAACCTGGAGATGACCTGACTGAAAAAAAAAAACCCGCAAATTACTGACCTAAATCAAACCCGATCCGAGAATGCCCTTAACTTATTATAACCTGATGAAACCCGAATTTAACCTAACATGTCATCAATCAAACCCAAATTCAACCTCACCTGTTATTATTGAACCAACCTAAACCGACCCAAACTAAATAGGATGTATGACCCACAATGAGCCGACCCACATTGACCCAATCTGAATTTTTAACCAATCCACAAAGGTAATGTATATATTAACTCGGACTAATCCGGCTCAAATTTCCCTGACCCACATTGAACTAATTCAAACCCCACCCGAATATCCGAATTAACAGCTTTACTTAAAATAGTGTCAAAATGTTTTAATAGTATGTTGCAACTTGCAAGTAATAACGTATGTAGTAGGAATTAATGATGAAATTATGCATTGATTCACGGTTTTAAATTTAAAATAATTAATACTCATGCTTAATTATTCCACTTTGAACATTTTGTATGCACTGCTAAAGTGCTAAACAGTTAATGCATTATTTTTTTCTTCTACTCAATAATGACTTGTTTTTATCAATAAAAAAAGATTCTCCGTGGAACCTTGTTTTGAAAGTGAAAGAGCACAACCTAAAAAATAAAGAATTGAAAGAAATAAAGAGAACACTCACTTACTTAGTCACTTTAATAAACACACTCACTCACTAAGTGGTATTGCTTAAAAGAAGAAAACAGCCAAAAACAATGGCTAAAATACAAATGTGTCTTTATCCCTTCTTAATATTCACTTCTTGCCACCTTACCCTCAATCAACCTCAAGATTCTAGGATCAAACATAGCTAAGGCTTGGATGAGTTGGATCTGTGGAAGATCCATCTACTAATGGATGATGCACGTCAAGAGATTGCTAGATTGCTTCATTAAGACTTTTTCTCACCACATATATTGGAAAACTAATCGTGCATTAAATTATGTTACAGTCTTAAGTCACCATTGGAATACTCATTAGGATATATTAACTTCTTAATATAGAAAATGTATTTTTTTTTTCTTTCTTTAATTAGAGAAGGGTGGTTACAATCTCAACAAAAGACTGATGTATCCTGGCCTCTCATGTACAAAGTACTTTTCTTCTATAAAATAATACTCCCTCCATCCCTAGATTACATTCCTCTTTCTCTCTATTATCTGAGGATTAAATGCTTGAAAGAGGAATGTAATTTAGGGACGGAGGGAGTAATAATAATAATAATAATAATAATAATAATAATAATAATATGAATTTTAATAATAGATAAATAATTTATTATAATTATTATTATTATTATTATTAATATCAATATTATTATTATTATTATTATAAATCATTTATCTAATTTTTAAAATTAATTTGTTAATTTTGAATTTTTATTTATATTTTCCTAATTAATTTATAAAATTTATTTTTTTTTTTGAAAAAAAAAATTTATTTTTTATTATTACTGAAATTGAAAAATAATTCAGAAATTAATTATGAATATACTAAAAAATAAAAAAAATAAATTTTAAAATTATAAAATAAAATGTTTACAATTAATTTTGACATTAAAAATAAATCAATAATTGTCCAATAAAAAATTAGAATAAAGTATAACGATAGTCATTTTAAAGAAGATTAGCATAGAATTTACAGCAGAACAGATATCTCTTCCAATTCGACTTTTTATTTAATTACTGGCTTTGTTTCTTAAATTATTGAGTAAAATAATTAAATCTTAATGATCGAGCTCCAAAGTGTTCTTCTCTTTAAGTACAATGCTGCATAATATAAATTAGATTATGAGTTGTCGGACACTGTATGACCATTAATTAATCACTAATCAATAATTAACAAAATTATTTGTATGGATAAGTGGATAATATGGCTACTGTATATCTGTTTGAGTGAATAATTGAGGGACCTTTTCTGGTTGTTTATCCTTATATCTGTTTAAGCCTTAATTATTTTGTGGGGGAAGCTAAAACTTCCTAAAACACCACATAATCTTCTTTCCACTTGTCTACCTTTCTTGGAATTCATTGGAAAAAATAATTAACAATGCAATGAAGTACAATACATAAGAGATTTCAAAAAAAAAAAAAAGTACAATACATAAGAGAATATACATTTTAATTCATATATAGGTGGAACTTTTTTTATTATAAAGTATATTTATCTATTTATATGGCTCTCATTCATTGGTACCACATAAAATATGACTCATATTTTTTTTTTACTCTCGTTTTAAAATTTACTATAACGCTAATCGTGTGTGGCCAGCCACATAAAAGAATTTGTGATAACGAATTTGTAATAAACGAGTGATGAAATCTAAGAAAATACTTATATTATTTTATAACTATGACAAATATATTTTTTCTTTGACCTTGATTCTTGAGTGTCGTACCTTACCTAGCCAACATCTATTCTCATAATCTTTACACAACACATCATCGGCTACAAAAATTTGTAAGTATAACAGCACAATTTCTTTGTTGTCACAAATTGTGACCTTTCTCATTTTCGGAAGGATAATTAATTAGATGATGTAAATAACCAAACATCATGTATAGCACAATTATAGAGTTACTTATGTATAGCACAATTATAGAGTTACTTATAGAGTTACTTAAGTAACCAAACATCATGTTACTTACAATTAATTAGTATAACATCTATTCTCATAATCTTTACACTATACATGATGTTTGGTTACTTACTCTATACAAACTTTGCATCCCTAAGCTGACATAGTATTATAGTACTACCCTTGTTATGAAACTTCAATTCATACTTCCTCTATTCTTTTTTACTTAACTTGTTTCTTTTATTACGCTTGTCAATGCAAAACTTTAACGATCAATAACTTTAGTTCTCCATAAGTAAAAATTATAAAAGTTGTATATTATGATAGTACTTATTGAGACGAATTCAATTCAGAAATTTCCCACATGAATACATTTTTCCTTACATATCATTCACAAAAGACTGTCAAAGAAAGAGTGGTAAATATTGTAAAAGTCAATGCGGATCAAGTAAAAAAGAACGGATGAAGTATATGTTATCGCTGAGATCACACAAATTTGTTCAATGCTATTCTAGGAGTTTAATACAAAGGAACCATTGCCATAACACGTATTATAACATCCTTCTCCTTATTCTTCCTTGCAACACCACTATTTTTTTTTTTTTTTTGACAAAACACCGACCACTAGTTATCATGTATGTCCTTTATTACTAATGTTCCCTCTTTTTCTTACCATATTAAAAAAAAATACTACATAATAATAAAATAAAATTACTATACATACACAGAGTATACTAAGCCATATACTTCTTTTGTTCTTTTTTACTTGACCTGTTTCTTTTATCACGCTTGCCAATGCAAAACTTTAACGATCAATAACTTCAATTCTTCATAAATAAAAATTATTAAAGTTATATATTATGATAATACTTATTGAGACGAAACCAAAAAGATCCTACATGAATATATTTTTCCTTACATATTATTCACAAAAGACGGTCAAAAGAGGAGTGGTGAATAGTGTAAAAGTAAAAGCGGGTCAAGTAATAAAGAATTGAGGAAATATATGTTATTCAGGAAAACCCCATCAGATCAATAATTTCTCCCTAATCTACACACCAAACATAGTATAATATATTATCAAAAATTCTCAGTGGTAAAAAGCCAAAAAACTTATTATCCTTGGTGAACTATGTTTTAAAAAGTTTAATCTATGGTAACACTAAGCAAGGTTATTAGGTATATTTTAACCATGGTTAAGCATAGTAAGTTAAAAAAAACCTATCATGCCTAAAATACCCCGTTTAATTTCACCCAACCACAAATGTCAAATCATTTCATTGACTTTAAACGCTTCTTCATCTTCATTGTTCTGCATTCGACATTGATGATTGCTCAACTCCTCTTCAATTTGCAATTTGATTTTTTCTCTTAAAAAAACTAGGGCTCTTGTAAACAATTAATCTGGGTTTTTAGTTGTAGTTAGTAGTGGTGATTAAACAGATTCTGAGTGATAATTGAAGAAGGTGTGAGGGTTTTAATGTTCGAAAAAATTCGCGGGTTGTGGAAATCGATTCTGGGTAAGACGATCTGCATCAAAAGTTCCAACTTTTTGGGGGAATTCCACGATTTAGACTACATTGAAGGCAGGTATGTGTTTTTTTCATATATGGTTTAGCTATGCTCTGTTTTATGGTTAATGGGGTTGGAAGTGAAATGTGATTGATGGTATTGGTTATATTTGTTTCAATTGATTATGTTAATTGTTAAAGTTCAGTTTTTAATTTGTTTAGGGTTCTGATTATGTGGTAATTTGTTGTTTATTGTTGGATTGGTATGCAATTTAGGGCACATTCTTATACAATTATTTGTTGGATGTTGTTTGGTTTGATTGATGCAGAATGGTTGATAAAGTTGTGCTACAATTTCAGTATAGGGGTGTTGATGTGACTGTTGTGGTTGATGATGTTGATAAGGTTAATTTGATAGATCTGATTGTAGAGTACTGGGAAAAAGCTAAGGAGAATAATATTGAAACACCAAACAACCCCACTTTTCAGTATGTGTATAAAATGAAACATGTAGCTCTTCTAAGTGATGCTGACTTGATGAAGATGTTTGGTAATTTGCCTGAAAAAACTGAGATATACATATGGGTTGGGGATGGTCTAAAAGACACTAAGGTTGTTGCAGCTGCAAGATCATTAATGAGTGGAAAGGGAAAGCAACAAGTAGCTGAACCAGTAGTTGAGTTGGAAGTTGAACCAGTAGATAACCCAGTACTTGAACCAGTAGCTAAGGTAGTGGCTGAACCATCAAATAAAAATACTAAAAAAAGTCACACCTAGGAAGAATAAGCAACCTAAGAATGTGGAAGCTTTAGTAGTTAGCAAGGCTGACTTTGATAGACATTTGAAGGCTATAGGATAGTCAAACAAGGTGACTGGTCCTGTGCATTTAAATTATGATCCAGATCAAATATGGGATGAGTTAGAAGCTGAGTTAGAAGCAGAGAGGGAAGCAAACCCTCAACCTAAGGGTAGTGGGAGGGGGAGTGGGAATCAAAGAGGGAGAGGGAGAACATCTGAGAGAGGGAGAGGCAGGGGTAGGAGTAGAGGGAGAGGTAGATCTTTAGGGAGGGGAAGAGGGAATACATTGGAGAATTGGTTCAACATTTCACCAACACCATGGCAAACTGACCATCAAAATCAACCTCATGAAGAGGATCAAACTGCTGACCCAAATGAAACTCAATACCAAGTGCTTCATGATATCATCACACAAAACACCCAAGCCCAACCATCTACACAGTCATTGATACCTCCTTTGCAAAATATTGGTGAGTTTGGACCTAGGGGTAACTCAGCTGAGAAGCAGTCATCTAATTCATCAAGAGTGTCTGCCTTTTTTCAAAAGAGAGTGCCTAGAACTACTGCTAAGAGAAAAGGGATTGTGATTAGCACAAGTACAAGTGGGGGGGATAGTGAACAACAAAATGCATGGGGATCAGAATAGGAAAAGGGAGGTTACTATTAGCTTAGGTGAAGACAATGATACTGATGGTCTGGCTTTAGTTGGTGATGAGGGTGACAATGAAGATGATGGCTACAGTCCTAGTAGAGGGGTTTCCGATGAAGACATGAGTGATGGGTCAGAAAATGTGAGTTTAGATGCTGAAGATGACTTGGCTAGGGATGAGTATGGGCCAATTATTGAAGACAGTTATGATCCCTTTGAGGATGAAATTTTTGAGTGTGACAATGAACAGGACAACTACTTAACAAAGTTATATAACAATGGAGAGGTGTATAAGGATGAGGGCTTTGGGAAAATAGTTCTCAAGCCATGGCAGCTGTTCATGGACAAGCAACATCTCAGGGATGTTGTGAGGGATTACTGCATCCAGTGTGGATTTGCAGTAGTTGTTGAGTGGGCTAGCAACAAGAGGTATTGTTGTAGATGCTTTGATGTGAACTGTGGCTGGAGATTACATGCATCTGTTCTTCCAGATCAGTGCACTTGGGCAATTAAAAGTATACAAAGCCCAAAGCATACATGTGCAGGACTGGAGACAAGAAATAGTATGGTTAATGTGAAGTGGGCTAAGAGAGTCTTACTTGAAGATATAAGGGCAAACAATGATGTTCCTGCCAAGGCATTGAATGTGTTACTTTGGAAAAGGTATGGTGTCAATATGGCACAAAGCACATTGTACAGAGTCAGGACTAAGGCATTAGTTGAGATTCATGGTGGCCATGATGCCTCTTACAAGGATTTACCTATGTACTATGATGTAATCAAGCAGCTGAATCCTAATTCATTAGCACACTGTGCATGGAAGATTGTAGGACCTGACAGGCCCATGGTGTTCAGTAGCATATTCATTGCATTTAAGGCTTCCATAGATGGGTTGAGTGCTGGATGCAAAAGCTTAATTGGAGTGGATGGAGCTCATCTCAAGGGCAACTATGGTGGGGTCTTATTGTCTGCAGTAGCTCTTGATGGAAATAATGAGATATTTCCTATAGCATGGGCAATAGTAGGAGCTGAAGATGCTGACAGCTAGAAGTTCTTTCTGTATCACTTGAAGAATGCTTTACAACCAAGTGGCAGGGGTGATAATTGGTGCATTATAAGTGACTGGCAAAAGGTATATTCATATGCCCATAATATGCTTGTTATTGCTTATGTATGTTTGTTTAACTTAGGCACTAATACATTTGTTTATTTCTGAAGGGTATTGATCCTGCCATTAGTGAATTATGGCCAAAAGTAGGCAGAAGATACTGTTGCAAGCACTTGGTGAAGAACTACAAAGTGGAATTTCCTGGTCTATTGATGTTCCAATTATTCTCGAAGGCTGCTGGAGCATTCAATCCCTTCACTTTTAAAAAAGCAACGGAAGCATTGAAGAAAGCCAATCCCCTAGCTCTTGTTTGGCTGTCAAAACTTGGACCACAATCAAGATGGTCAAAGCATGCTTTCAATCCAGATGTGAAGTGTGATACAAACAAATCAAACTTTGTAGAAAGCTTTAATTCTACCTTAGGCATTGATAGATGCAGACCAGTCCTTACTCTGCTTGAAGGTATTCCCTTAACTTATTTATTAGTGTTAATTTTTTAACTGTGAGTGCTTATCTATTTACCATTGTTGTCAATGCAGGTATTAGGAGAGTCACCATGGTTAGAATGGCCACCAGAAGAGAGGCATGTGAGAACTGGAGAGATGATGTGTGTCCTAATATCATGAAAAGGATGCAAGTTATTAGCCAAGAATCTAGGACATGCAAAAGTTTGAAGTCTGGAGATGGAGAATTTGAAATACTTGATGGAAAATCTGTTCTTCCACTCAACCTAAGAGAGAAGACATGTGTATGTAATGCTTGGCAACTTACTGGATTGCCTTGAAAACATGCTATGAGGGCCATTTTGCACTCAAATGAAGACCCTAGGTTGTACATCAGTGAGTGGTTTTCAGTGACAAGGTATAAACTGGCTTATGGCAACTCAATCAAGTCCATACCAGCGCAATGGCCTAACAGTCCTTACCCAGAGATTGCCCCACCAGTTATGAAAAGAGGAATAGGCAGACCTGCAAGGAATAGGAGGAGGGAAGAGGGTGAGCAAGCCAAAGGGAAGAGGTCCAGGACTTTCAAGTGCAGCAAATGCCAACAATTTGGGCATAATGCACAAACCTGCCAAGGTGGCTTGACTGGTAAACAAAAGATGGCCCTAGGTGAAAGCTCTGCAGGTCAGACCAACAAAAAGCCACCAAGCAAGAAGGGTAAAGGGGCATCTATGAGCCAACCAGAACCAGCAACAGTGGCATCACAGACACTAAGAGTGTCACCAAGGAACAACAGAGCTAAGGGACCTATCTCAGCATCACAACCACTAAGAGTCTCACCAAGGTCAAAGAGATCTAAGGGAGGGATCTCAGCATCACAGCCTGCATCATAGTGTCTTAGGAGTAGTTGTTCAGAATAGTGCATGATTTTTTGCTTCTTAGTTGACTGTATGTGTCAAACTTCAATAGTATGTGTTTAAATTGTGAAATGCTGTTTTTTTTGGACAAATCATTGAGCTTATGGGTTGATGTAATGTTTTTCTTTTGGCAAAACAATGAAATATCAGCATTATAATTAAGTAAAAAAATTGCAAACACTTATATGATCTGCCAAACAAAAGAAGTACCAATTTTATTCATTCATAAGTCATTAAACAAACTAAAGTACATTAGTTTTCACTCATTAAACTAAGGCATCTCCAACATCTACATTGCAATTCATAATCAATCTAATCAATCTAATTCATCACTTAGAAACAACAAACAACAAAATAAAATACATAATCAAAGCCATCTTCACAATTACTTTGATGAAATTCACCAAATCATCCAGCCTTGAAGTAACAGCAGCAATACCACCTTGTTCAACTTCCAATTCATCACCAACCCTTATTATATCCTCCTCCTTCAACCAAGCAAAAAAATCGCATTGTCTGCACTTGAAAAATAGTCTTCTAGGGTTCTTCATGGTTTCTGAAATCTTCACCGCAGCCACTTGAGGGGGAACACAGCCGCAACGCATATGCTTAACCTAAGCAATCCTATCATCCATGGTTATTGGCTTCACTGAAGAAGATGAACGACTGTTCTTCATTGCCTAAAGATCGAGAATTTGGGGAAATCGTGAAACTTAGGGTTCATAAGATTTGGGGAAATCGATTTGGGGAAATCAACTTCATAAATAGGGGAAAGGGAAATCGATTTGGAGGGAAATCGATTAAGAGGGAAATTCTGTCATTAGGGTCAAATTAGTAATTACATCTTTAGTTAACCATAGTTACACCCAATATACCTAATAACCTTGCTTAGTGTTACCATAGATTAAACTTTTTAAAACATAGTTCACCAAGGATAATAATTAAGTTTTTTGGCTTTTTACCACTGAGAATTTTTTATAATAGAGGTCTACCAAAGAGAATTTCCCTAAAATATATATAGAATTCATTTCCTGCAAAAGCTAAAGTGAAAAATTGAAAAGGACGGAAACAAAACTTTTTTTTTGCCTAAAAGCCATGTATAGATGGTGGCCTTGATTAATTTATTCATACACTGCTACTAATATTATTGGGAGCTCCATTAATATAAAGTTTCCAATTAATTTTCCACTCATAAAAACCTTTTTTTTTAAGTTTCCAATTATTGGGAGCTCCATTAATATAAAGTTTCCAGTTAACCATAGTTACACCCAATATACCTAATAACCTTGCTTAGTGTTACCATAGATTAAACTTTTTAAAACATAGTTCACCAAGGATAATAATTAAGTTTTTTGGCTTTTTACCACTGAGAATTTTTTATAATAGAGGTCTACCAAAGAGAATTTCCCTAAAATATATATAGAATTCATTTCCTGCAAAAGCTAAAGTGAAAAATTGAAAAGGACGGAAACAAAACTTTTTTTTTGCCTAAAAGCCATGTATAGATGGTGGCCTTGATTAATTTATTCATACACTGCTACTAATATTATTGGGAGCTCCATTAATATAAAGTTTCCAATTAATTTTCCACTCATAAAAACCTTTTTTTTAAGCTTCATCTCTAGGTACCTCAATTCCTTAGCTATAAATACATCCCTCCATTATTTCATTATTCACCACACCAAAAACATCTCTTATATTCTCTCTAAAACATACACAACCTCTCACAAACTTAGCTACTAACTTACTAAGCTACTATAATTTCAAACAATCTAGGAAAGATGGAGCAAAACCTACCAATAATCACAAAAAAGCTATATAACATGGTTAAACTAACCATCTTCATGCTAATAAAAGGTATTTCCAAGAAGAAATTACTCTTGGACCTCAACTTGATGATGAAGAGAGGTAAAAAGACCTTTACCATTGGCAAAGTCTCCACCACACAAGAGTACGAGTTCAATTGCAAAAACACAACCTTATACCATCACTACTACTACTACTACTCGCCCTCACCATGTTTGGAAGATACCGATGAATCGGAATCTATTGACAAGGTACTAGACGCTATTATCTCTAGTAAAGGTAGTAACCCTCGGAATCTAAGGCTAACAGACTCTCCATTTCCTTCACAAAATGAACAAAGTATTGGTGATGAACGTGTGGATGACGCGGCTGAGGAGTTTATTCAGAGGTTTTACTCGCAGCTCAAGGAGCAAAGTTGTTGCTAGAGTACTAGTTGTTAACATGTATTATCATGTTGCGGTTAAATTAGTTAAAGATAGTATATGAAATACACAAACAAATTGGTACGAATGTAGTAATACAATTTAGAAAACTGTGATGCTTGATATGTGCGTCCGTTTTCTTTTCATATGTCCGTTGTATAGAGTTTTCTAGAACTTATATATGTACTTTGGACAGGCTAATTCCTTTTGAATGTATAAACTATGCGCGTACCTACTTATATTGGAAAATTCATTTTTTTTTTTTTGTTAAACTCATGTGTAATTTGGTAGGATAGTGACAAACTGACCATAGTGTTATACTTCATATATGAACATAAGTTAAACTCTTTGACCAAGCAAGAGGTGAGAAAATCCACTTCACAAACTTCACAAAGCAAATAAAAGGTAACATCGTTTTCTCTATTTGATAATAAGAGAGTGTAACCTTTTAATTTTAGAAAATGAATACGTGTGACATTCCATGGACAGAGTTCTTTGACAAATAGTGTGCCATTTTTTTATTTTTACTTTTGTAATATTGCATAAGTTAAACTGTTGGACTAAAAAAAACATATTTTACCTAGACGAGGTGTACAAATTAAATCTATCTTTTCATTTTTGACAAATAATAATTGAAAATAGTTAAGAGACGATGAAAAGCTAGTCAAAAGTCATTTATCAAACACTTTCTAATTGGTCCTTCAAACTAAAAAAATAAATAAATAAACACTATCTAATTGATGTTTTATTTCTTAAACTCTCTTAGAATGAGTTGAATGACCCTAATTGCTACTATGAAACACCATTTGCAAGTAAGTTAATAACCAAAGAAATTGCGGCCACAAATATATAACCTAAATAGAATACTATGATTAAGGAGAAAGAAAAGCTCTATTATCTTTACCTTCTTGATGAGGGCCATGACTTTCGTTAATAAAGATGATGAGTTGTCTATTTGGACTAACAATTTAACAAAAATTGGCAATACCTTTACACCTTTGGACCACAACCATGGAGATCTTCACACTTTGTTTCCTCGCCCAAGGATCACAACCTCAAAACCCAATACCAAAGCAAAGTCTTAGCTTAGTTCGTATCTCTACTCGATACCACACATAATTAAAAACATTGTTAAATGATACCCTTACTTTATTATTTCTCCAAGTAACAATTACATAACATATTTTTTGCCCCATCTAAACGGGTCTAGACCACACCCATCACAATTGTCCACTTTACACGACCAAAGAGGTTCCGTCTCAAAACCATATGGCAATGAGGAGATCAAGTAGCCTCTTAGCCTTATAAAGCGGCCACAATTATCTTCTTCTTCAATGTGGGATACACATGCCAATACAAACTCTCATTTATAAACTCAACCAATGTGAGACAACGCACCATTCATATGTGGGTTTTTTCATGAGCTCAACATACACTCCCCTTGATCTCCTATATCTTAATATGTCCTATAAATACATAACTTCCATTTTATTAATTAGAAACTTACAACATACAATTAAGATCTTGATTAATGTGTGTTAGAACACAATTAACATACATAACATACAAAAAATTAATACTCAAAATTAAATCAACTTAATTAACAAGTTTTGACCGTAACAAACCATTCACAAATTAATTTGTATACATCCTTATACAAGATACAAGAGTAATTACGTACAATTATTATACGAAGTATAATTATTGGACCAAAAAAGGCCGTTATAACGCAATGAGTTATCACACCATCCTTTTGCAAAACAATTCATTACGTGAAACATGTCAATATTAAAATATCAATTTATGAATTAATTAATATTATTCCATAAAGTTAGAAAAAGTAGAAGTGTTACAAGTTAAGAAATATGAAACTTCATTCTCACCCTCCCACAAACAAAAGTACTCAATATTTTAACATGTCCTAATCAACTTTTTCTTCCTATATATATAACCTCTTCCAATTTCGTTCTCTTCATAACAAAACTAAAGCCTTCTCTTCTTAATTCTTTTTTCTCTCCTAAAATTTTCATAAACACTTAAACCAAAAGACACATTTCTCTATTGAAAATGGAACCCAAAATAGAAAGCATATCAAGGAAAATATGGAAAATAGTAAGTGTGGCTATTTTCGTGATAAAGAAAGGCTTATGCAAGAAGAAGTTACTCATGGATCTCAACTTTACGATGAAACATGGGAAAATCGCAGGTAAAAAAGCCCTAGGAAACCTTATGTTCCACCACAACTCTCAGGGCGGCGTTGGTGGGCAGTCTAAACTCACCAACGACGCCCGGGAGTACGAGTTTAGTTGTAGTGACACACCCTTATACCGTCACTACTTCACCAACAAAAGAAAAAATCAACGTCACCAAATAAATGACCAATATTACATGCCCTACCCTTTAACCTTGGAAGATGGTCAAAATGTTAATCTAGAGGATTTTAACAGCGTGCTAGAAATGATGCTACATAATGAAGAGGCTACTGGTGGTCTTTCGGCCCCTTTGCCGGCTTTGCCCGGTCTAGGATTTGGACGGAGCCCTACGGTCCGGCAGCTAAGGATAACGGACTCGCCGTTTCCGGTGCAAAATGTGGAGGAGTACAAGCATGTAGATCAAGCTGCTGAAGATTTCATTAACAACTTTTATTCACAACTTAAGTTACAATAATAGTGTCAATTTATTTCCAAATGAATAATTTGAAGAGAATTTTGTTGAACGGACGTACAATTTTAGAGTAGGACCTTATTTTTTCTCTTTTGAGACAATTTGTCTAAAAAAAATGTTTTATTTCATTGCAAATTTGTATTGTATGGAAATATGACATTATAAAAACATTTACTTCAAATAAAATAACAAAGTATTAAATACATCTGATCCTTAGCATATACTCTGTAAGATTTGAGAATTATATAAAGTACTCTGTACATAATAATTTGAACTAAGAAAGTAATCGTATTAATTTATGTGTATTATTTTATGTGTGGTTATATAATTGTACTGTTTGGTACATTTCTATACTACGAAATATAATTTGGGTTCTTTACCTTTTTCCTATTGGGGAAGTTTTCTAAATAATTAAGTTTGCCAGAATTTGTACCATTGAGTAAAGTGTATGTACTAGCAAGTCAATTACAGAAAAAGTGATGAAAATCAAACATAGTTGGCCATTTAACTTGCTCCTTTCATTTAGGAAAGACCCTTATTGGGTCTTATGATTTGGGTACCTTTTGTGAAATTTGTTATAGGGTTCTTTTAAAAGGTAATTTTCATACCGAATTACTAATATGATTGCACTTGTTATTTGCCAGAATTTATTATAATTTATTCAGTTTAGGTTTTTCTTGTGAGAACAAGATCTATTATAATTTGTACGGAGTATTATTGAAATGATATCGGATTATTGTATATTTTAAAAATTACTACTTTTATGTATTGCTAATCAAATCCTCAAAGGTTTCCATTGTAAACACATAAATGGGTAAAAATATTAAAGGAAGAGAGCATTATATATTGTATCGTAGTATGCAAGAACTTTAGTTGCCCTTTCATGTATTTCATGAATAAACTTGAGAAGATCAATTATACAATTATTCACCATTCTAAATTATTACTTAGGAAAACAAAATGAATTAACAATATAATGTCTATTATTATGACTATTAAATATTTATTTATCATAAATATTTCATGAATAAACTTGAGAAGATCAATTATACAATTACATGTATAAGTTTTATTCTCCATATCATTCTAAAATAATTACTTAAAAAACAAAATGAATTGACAATAAAATGTCTATTATTTTGACTACTCCCTCCGTGGTTGATAGGTCCTAATTTGTACACATTTTAGGTGCTTATCTACACTCAATTGCTTTATTGAGTTAGAGATTTAAGGTGTATTTTTACATTATTTGCTTAGGTTATGCTATACTACTCTCCGTTTGCGTGTTTTAAAGAATTTCAAGTGATTTAGATGCAAATGGATTATGGTTGGATAATCTTGAGTATAATAATCATGGAGTAGGAAGCTACGTCGCTCAAGGATTTCAAATTATGCGTTCGAGAGGAAATAAGGATAGAAAGAAGCAAAGGCGTTGATGAAAGACTTTTGATCTACAAATGATATTAGAGTGATTCAAATTGGATTGAAAAGTAGAATTTAAGAGCTTTCTAATAACGATATATTACACGCCCTAAACGAAGCTCTAGAACTCAAGTTATGACCGTTTTAAGAAGAGCTACGTGTGCAGCAGCAAGACACACGGTCGTGCCCTATGCTTACTCGCCCGTGTATGGACGAGTGAAAAAGGTAGGTGCTTTTGAGAGGCACACCCGTGCGTGGACAATTCATGCAAGATTTAGCCCGAATTAGTTTCCTAATTCCTAGCTTTATCATAAATACTTTGTGGCTTTATTATCCCAAAATCCCCATCAATTTAGAACCCTAGTTTTCTCTCTAGATTTATTTTTTTTCAAGTATTATATTTTCTACTTTTCTTTCTTTTATGTTTATTTCTTTTATTATGTTAGAGTAGATTATTACTCTAGGGTTAGATTTAACCCTAACCGTGATTAATACTTGATTTGTTCTTTTAAATTCTCAATTAATTAGTTAAAGGTTCATGCTTAATTGATTGTGCTTATGCCAATACTATATTAGAGATAATTAGTATTGTTATCATTCCTTTATTTTAATCGCAACAAGAGATGGGTTTTAACGGATTTGAATAGTTCAATTAAGGGATTGAAGTTCATCATGAAAATAGTTGAATGGATAATTAAGAAGTTAAAGTAATGTGCTTAATGTCTCTAATTTGCATGATTACATAAGATAGTCTTGATTTTGATTAGAGAAGCCATTGATAACTCGAGAGAGACCTTTCGTATTATCTAGGGATTACTTTTCCTTATGAACATATGATTAATTGATTGGGGTAAGAATTTGTCTTGTATTGATATGATTATGCTAGTGGTGATACTTAATTCTAGATCTTTAGTAATTTGATTCGTATTTGATATTTAATAGTCATATATAGTTATTAAATTACTCTGTAACACCCGCGGCTCAACTTATAGTGATGTCATGTAAGTGTAATAATGGAATAAGATAAATAATATGTCGTTGGAAAGCTCTTGAAGTCTACTTTCTAACCCAATTAGAATCTGATTAAAATATTTTGTAGAATAATAGATATGGCTGAAATAGTGAGACGGTGTCAATTTTGGATAGAGTTTGATATTTCATTCATATCTTTTTTGTTATAGCTCGTAATTAATATTATAATATATAATTGGAAAGATAATTTCAAGAGCTATCCAACCATATAAGATTTGGATAAAAACTATGAGGCACGAAAGTCATATCTGACTATCTTTGAACATCTTTTAATTTGAATAAAATTAGGATTTTCAAAAAGAGGAGTTTTATTCAATTTCAAACTCTTCAATTTTATCATTTCAAAAAGGATAATTAAGATCTTTTAAAAACTTATAGAAGCTTCTAATTAATCCTAAGTAATTGGTTTATGAATGAGATTAAAGCCTTTGGACCCTCCACATGATCATAGGGTCGTAGGTAAGGTGGGATTAGGTTCGGTTTGGACTCAGTTTAGTATTTTGCCCGTAACTCATTATAACTCAGATTTGGGCTTATAATATATTGTTACGTTAGAAAGATTTTTTCAAGCCCCATCCGACTATTCAATAATTGGACCCAGATAATGGACCAAAATAAAATGGTCTTAACGCTTTTATTAAAGGACACTGAATGAATGATTTTAAGAGACACAAAAATGAATTATTTTGGGTTTAAAGGCACAAAAAGAGGAAAATAAGTTATGGTTTGGGGAAATGGGCTAGGAATTGGGTTGGTCTAAGAAATATATTGGGATTGAATATGGATTTAAGCACTCTAAGATTAAATACTCAACCTGAACAATAATGGCAATGAAAAGTTGTTCATCATTGGGTTTAGTTTTGGGGAGACATTTATATGTGTCTACAAAAATCCCCCACGTTGACTAAGTTTGTAGAAACGTTAGTTTCGAAAACGATAGTCAAAGCAGTCGATTGGCACGGAGAATGATTTAAGACGTTCTATGATCCTAATCGCTCTAGCTTTATACGCCAATACCTACAGAAAGATGTTAGTTCAACAGATAAAAGAGTAAAGGGATAAAATGCGTCGATTCGTGAAAATGTTAGTTCCAATTCAATTTGAACCAGAATACTTAATGCCATTAAAGGTCCCAAACCATGGGCCTAGCAATATACTCAAGCCATTAGAGATCCCAAACCGTGAACCTGGTTCTGATACTATGTTAAATACGGGTCTGGGATGCACTAAGAGAGAGAGAGAGAGAGAGAGAGAGCGAGCGAGAGAGATAGAGAGTCCTCTTCATAAGACCAAAGCAAGGTCCATCCCAAAACGATATGGCAATAGGAGGAGTAGCTCCTTAACCTTGTAAAGTGCTTAACTCTCTCTTCTTCAACCAATGTGGGAGACTTACATGTGATGATACTTGGGAGGTTTATTCTTCAGCACTCCCCCTCACATGTAAGGTTCTTTTTAACTTTGTTTCATGTGATTTTTTGGGCTAGAGTGCTTCTTCACTCCCCCTCACATGGACCAATTCTTGGCCCAGTGAACTTTAACCATTGAAGGTCCCATATCGAATCTAGCTCTGATACCATGTTAAATACGGGTTTGTGCCGCACCCGTAAACCAAGAGAGAGAATACACTTCACAAGTCCAATTCAAGGAGGTTCCATCCCAAAATCATATGGCTATAGGAGGAGTAGCCCCTTAGCCTTAAAAAGTTTTTAACTCTATCTTCTTTTATCAATGTGGGAACTCTTACATGTGCTATTTGGTGGGATATACTTCAAAATATATGCTCTGCTAAGAGTTACATGATTGTTTTTCTTCTACTCAATAATGACTAGTTTTTATTGATAAAAAAAAAAAAAAAAAAAAAAAAAAAAAAAAAAAAAAAAAAATCTCTCCGTGGACCCTTGTTTTGAAAGTGAAAGAACACAACCCATAAAATAAAGAAAGATATAGAGTACACTCACTCACTTAGTCACTTTAACTAATACACTAACTCACTAAGTGGTAGTACTTAAAAGAAGAAAACAGCCAAAAACAATGGCTAAAATACAAATGCATCTTTGTCCCTTCTTACTATTCACTTCTTGCCACCTTACCCTCAATCAACCTCAAGATTCCAGGATCAAACATAGCTAAGGCTTGGATCTGTGGAAGATCCATCTACTAGTGGATGATGCACGTCAAGAGATTGCTAGATTACTTTATTGAGACTTTTTCTCGCCACATGTATAGGGAAGCCAATCGTGCAATAAATTATGTTACAGTCTTAGGTTATCATTGAGGTATTTATCCGGATATAGCTATTTATAATAGAACTCCATGTATCTTTAGATATTGTTCTTATTTTGACTTTTAAATTGTTTACTACAAGACAATCACCGTCAAATTAAGAACAACGTGTTTCTTTAAACTTCTTGATATTACTTAAGCTAATTGAAGAAAACAACATTAAAATTATTTACAACTCATGTATATGAGAGCTTATTACAACATGACATTGATGACATGCAACTTATTCTTAATCAAGATACGGAGTAATATTTTAACAGAACATATTTCTTCCAATTCGATATTTTATGTTATTGTTGGCTTGGATTCTTAGATTGAGTAAATAATTAAAGTTTAATGATCCCCGATCCAAAGTTTTCCTCTCTTTATGTGCTGCATAAATAAATTAGATTATGAGTTGTCAAGCAATGTATGACCATTAATTAATCACTAATATATACACAAACTAATAATTAACACTTACAAAATTAAATCATTTGAATGGATAAGTGGATAAATGGATAATATGGCTACTGTATATCTGTATGAGTGAATAATTGAGGGAACTTTACTGGTCGTTTATCTGTTTAAGCATTAATCATTTTGTGGGGAAGACTTCCTAAAACACCACATAATCTTCTTTACACTTGTCTACCTTTCTTAGAATTCAATGGAAAAAATACTTAACAGTGCAATGAAGTACAATACATAAGAGAATATACATTAAAATTATAAAGTATATTTATTTTATTCATATGGCTCTTATTCATTGGTGCCACATAAGATGTGACTCATCATATTTTTTTTTACTATCCTGTTAAAAATTTAGTACGATGTTAATTATATGGAATAAAAATTTATTCATATGGCTCTATATAAAGTTTGCATCCCTAACTGACATAGTACTACGATACCCTTGTTTTGAATAAGAAAGATATAGTAGGGATCCTTAATTACTATTTGTTAGTTGAATTAATGACAATTTATTAGGTATCAGATCTTGGTAAAGAGAATTGAAGCAATAATCCACCTATTCAATCTAGCTGATCTATTTTGCCGCTACACTAAGTACTCATAGAGCATTCCTAGATTTACAAATGGCTCCAATCCTAGCTAATGAAGAAAGCAATGAATATAGAAGCATTTATGTATACATAAATTGAAGTCACATTAAATGACAATTAGCAAATTAGGCTAAAAAAGTGTACGTACCCATATGTTGTCCAGAAGAACCCCATCAATAATTTCATCCTAAAATCTACACACCAAACATAGTATAACAAAATAAAGAATAAATTTATTGCAAAAGCTAAAGTTAAAAATTGAAAGGACATAAACAAAACTTTTTTGCCTAAAAGTCATGTAGATGGTGGCCTGCCTTGATTAAATTATTCATGCACTGCTACTAATTAATATAATTGGGAGCTCCATTAATATAAAGTTTCCACTCATAAAACCTTAGTCTTAAGCTTCAACTCTTGCTAGCTCAATTCCTTAGCTATAAATACACCTTCCACCATTTCTTTTTTCACCACACCAAAAACATCTCTTAATTAGTCTCTCAATAATACAACATTCTCATCACAAACTTAGCTACTAGCTTACTACTAGCTAATCCAATAATAATCTAGGAAAGATGGAGCAAAACCTACCAATAATCACAAAAAAGCTGTATAACATGGTTAAACTATCCATCTTAATGCTAAGTAAAGGTATTTCCAAGAAGAAATTACTCTTGGACCTCAACTTGATGATGAAGAGAGGTAAAAAGACCTTTACCATTGGCAAAGTCTCCACCACACAAGAGTACAAGTTCAATTGCAAAAACACAACCTTATACCATCACTACTACTACTACTACTCGCCCTCACCATGTTTGGAAGATACCGATGAATCGGAATCTATTAACAAGGTACTAGACGCTATTATCTCTAGTAAAGGTAGTAACCCTCGGAATCTAAGGCTAACAGACTCTCCATTTCCTTCACAAAATGAACAAAGTATTCGTGATGAACGTGTGGATGACGCAGCTGAGGAGTTTATTCAGAGGTTTTACTCGCAGCTCAAGGAGCAAAGTTGTTGCTAGAGTACTAGTTGTTAACATGCATTATGCTGCGGAAAAATTAGTTAAAGATAGTATGAAATACACAAACATATAAGTACGAATTAACGTAATACAATTTAGAAAACTGTGATGCTTAATATGTGCGTCCGTTTTCTAAAATATGATGCTATCCGTTGTATATGAAGTTTTCTAGAACTTATATATGTACTTTGGACAGGCTAATTCCTTTTTGAATGTATAAACTATGCGTACTTATATTAGAAATTTCATGTTATTTGTTATAATTCATGTGTAATATGTTGGGATTGACAGTGACCAACTGAAGACCATAGTGTTATACTTCATATATGAGCATGAGCCACACCAATTCAAGCAAGAGGTGAAAAAATACACTTTACAAAGCAAATGGATTGTAAAATCGTACTCCCTATATGATAATAAGGGGAGTTACCTTTTAACCTTGGAAAATGATCGAATACCCCTGATGTTCCATAGGCATAGTATGTCAACAAATAGTGTGCCAACCCATTTTTTTCAATGTCGCATAAGTTAGACTCTTGAACTGAAGTAACATATTTTACCATGATGAAAACTACAAATTAAATCTATCTTTTCATTTTTGACAAATACTGACTTTGCAGCCAACCAAATATGTAGAAGTAATTCACAAATGTTTCTTGCATGTTTTACCAATTTAAAAAGTCAATAGTCAAAATACGATGATAATAAAGACCAGTCAAAAGTCATTTATCAAACATATTCTAGTTGGTCCTTCAAAAGAAAAAAAAAAAAAAAAAAAAAAAAAAAAAAAAAAAAAAAAAAAAAACCATCTAAATGATGTTTTATTTCTTAAACTCTCTCTTAGAATATAAGAACCCTAATTACTACTATGAAACACCATTTGCAAACAAGCTTATAATCAATGAAATCGCGGCCACAAATATATAACCTAAATTGAATCCTATGATGTAGGAGAAAGAAAAGCTCTATTAACTTTACCTCCATGATAAGGACCATGACTTTCGTTAATAAAGATGATCGAGTTGTCTATTTGGACTAACAATTTAACCAAAATTGGCAACACCTTTACACCTTTGGACCACAACCATGGAGACCATCACACTTTGTTTCCTCGCCCAAGGAACACGACCTCAAAACCCAATACCAAAGCAAAGTCTTAGCTTAGTTCGTATCTCTACTTCATACCACACATAAAAATATTGTTAAATAATACCCTTCACTTTATTATTTTTTTTCACGTATCAATTAAATATCTCATATTTTGGCCCTGGCCCCATCTATCTATGTGAGTTTGTGATTGATTATTTTGATTTTGATTTCCATAGCTTATATGGTATGTATCAAATTATCGATCAATCACAAAATCAAGAACGAATATATGTAGCTCAATCTTTATCTAGTTACTTACTATACGCGACATATTCATAATGGTCACACCAATTAATATGATCAGTGTATCTACTTTGGTGACTAGTTAGTTGTATGGGATATGAGAATGTCACATTGACATTCAACATGATTAACCTAGCATATCTTTAGGTTACGAGAGCTGCTACACATACACTTGGTGTATGTGGGCCAAACATATACTTTCAATAAAAATACGACACCCCACCATCTACCAAATAAAAAGAGAGGGAAATTATGGGGGAAAAATTTCAGACATTTACCGCCAAACTGAAATCTTAGGCGGGAAAAATGATTTGGCGCTAATGGTAAAAGATTGTGGGTCCTACCTTTTCCACCCACTTTCATCTTTAATTTATAAAATAAAATAAATAAAAATAAAATATCTCAAAGGAAGCCATTAACATGACATCTTTTCCAGCCAAGTTTTTTTTATTTTTTTATTTTATTTTTTAAAATAAAATCACTGTGTTCAACAATATATTTCTTATTTGTAATGTTCAAGATCCTATTGTTCAATATTTCATTCTCCACACTCCATCTACAGTAAAGCATGTTTTATGTAATGTTATTAAATCAATGAACTATAATGTTGTAATTTCAATTTTTATTGTTATCGTTTTTTTATAGTCCGACAATAATCTTTGTGGTTGTTTAATTTGAATCTTACAAATATTTTGTGTTATTTAAATCAAATGATCTGGTTTTGATAAACTTCTGGAATTGTACAATTCTAGTTAAAATTCACTATTTTGGTTCGACAAAGAAGAAGAATCGAGTTCTACGTGATGTTAAAATGTTTATATTAATTTAATAACAAATATAATTTTTAAGTATCTTGAATACTATATATTAGTAACTTGATAATGACACCTATATTATCTGTAGTATAATATCTAGAGTTACTAAACAAATGATGGAAATAAAATTCAAATACATTCCACAAAAAAAAGGCACTTATAATTAACAAAGATAAGATTCGAACTCGGGACCTAAATGCATGGAATATGGTTTATACATTGCACTTGTAACCAAGATTACAGGATATTCATCATGTTAACAAATTTCTGCGTTAAATACTTATAAAACACATCGCTGTTATTTGCGAACTATAATACAGGTTTTCAATACTATTTAAATTCATACTGTTACCAAATAACAAACAAACTTACAAGAATATAATTGAAAATTATATTATTGCCAATAATTTGTTTTAATTTCAATTTTAATTATCATAGTAATGGACTACAAATATTTCAAAGATTGAAAAGCATGATGTCTTAATTTCATTTATCATAGTAATTAATGGAGTTCAAAACCTTGATGAAATTCAAACACATTATGATAATTGTCGAATTGTGACACGATATTTCCCCCTGTCAAGCTACCTTTGCCCAAGTATATCCACCGTAAAATTAAACCGTGAAATACCTAATATTTGATTAACCATCCAATACCATCGGTAATAATAAAGTTGGAGGGTTCAAATTAAATAGTGAAGGTTTAAAATCGTTTATGAAATTAACAATTGTAATTTTAAAAGTAGTTATCATTTACTAATAAATGTGACTATACAAAACTTTTTTATACTTTGTTACATCTTGCAAGGAGGTGTATCAATTTTTTCCTTGAGTGAAGGAGAATCCAAATTTTAACAATAAATCATTCATTCACTATTCGTTAGCATTATTAATATGATGTTATTACTAACCTTAATAAGACACGTACAATAAATCCATAAGGGGTACCTCATAAATTTAAAAGGTAGAGATAAAATTATTAACTATCTATCAATTGTTTAACCAAATATGTATGTGTATATATATATATATTTACAATGTAATGACAAAACTCAAGTAAAAGGGCTAAAAGTAAGGTGTGAAGAGTTATAATCAAATAGTGGAGGGTTACAATAAAAATAACTGCAATTCATACAAAAATTATTAACTACTAATAAATATAGAACATTGTCAAAAATGATATAAACGAAGTAAATTTTTTACAAATATAAAGAGATCTCTTACTAGTCTTTATTTTATTATCATTTTCCATCTTCATTAGCATAAATTATATGATCTAGAATATTTTTAATACAACGTCGTTATTTGCAAACTATTATATAGGGTTCCAATATTATTAAAATACATATTGTTACTAAAAATATTTTGACAGTAATTACATATATTTGATTCGAGTAAAAAAAAAATCACACTTATAGCGAACACATGATTCGAGCCCAGAACCTATATGCATGGAGCTCGTATTAACTAATCAAAGTTGTAACCAAAATTGCGGGATATTCACTATGTTAACAAATATATTTTTAAAATACTTATAGTACACATCATTGTTATTTGCAAACTATCATACATGTTTCCAATGCTATTTAAATTCGTACTGTTACCAATTGACAAACAAACTTACAATCGTTTCGTTAATAATATAATTGAAAATTATTGCCCATAAAATATTTTTATTTCAATTTGAATTATCATAGTAATGGACATCAAATGTTTCAAAGTTTGAAAAGTATGATCTCTTTATTTCAATTAACATAGTAATTAATAATAGACTACAAAAGCATGTTGTCTTTATTTCAATTAACATAATCCATAAGGGGTATCTCATACTTTTTAAAAGGTAAGGATAAAATTAGTAACTATCGATCAATTGTTTAACCAAATACGTACATAATTATACAAAAATATATATATTTACAATGTAATGTCAAAAACTCAAGTTAGAGGGCTATTTTATTTTTATTTTTTTTTTTGACAAGAAGAAGAATATTATCATTAATAAATAGCCATACGGCATCTACAACAATAATAAAGATTTGTAAACCACAGATCTAGAGAAAATAACGTAACTTTTACAATCAAAATCATAACTAATTTGCATATCGGACATAGCTCACACTCCACCGCTTCAAGCTTGACGCGAGTAGTGATTTTCGATGTCTTTGTATCTTTCCAAGTAGAGACCTTCGCAATCTGCGCTGATGTTTTGATCGTAAAGTTGATGACGAACCCTAAACCCATATGAATCCAAATCACCTTCTCAATTATTATTAAAACCCTAAAAATAAAATTCTCATCCATAGATGAGAATCAAAATCCCAAAAATTTGGGAAAAACCCAAAAAATTAGGACAGACTCTTACAAAGGGAAAGAACAAAACAAAGCAAAACAAATCAAATAATAAAAAAAACAAATTAAATTGAAGAAAAGGATTGGAAATAGTCTAATTTTCGAAGAAATTACACTATTTCCGGCCTAAACGGCCAAGAAAATTAAAATCCTAAAGAGAGGAGAGAGAAGAGAGAAAAGAGAGTAGAGGGATAGAGGGCTAAAAGTTAGTTATGAAGGGTTATAACTAAATAGTGGAGGGTTACAATAAAAGCAAATTTAATTCATATAAAAGATTATCAACTACTAATAAATACAAAATATTTTCAAAAATGAAATAAATGAAGTAAAAGTTTTTACAATATATACACTTTCTTTACTTTTTGTAAGGAAATCTCTAAATATAGGATATCTCTTATAAGCTTGTTTTACATATAGCCCTAAGGGTCATCTATGTCAATTTTTGTTAATAAATTAAGGTATGTGTAATGTCTATCCTTAACATTGATAGTATATTATTCTGATTAATTTTTTTTATTATTTTTTTATCTTTTTATAAAATTGCGTATGCGGTCTTTTTATTATTCTTTTTAATTTGGTTTTTGGTATTTATTTGTATTTTTTTGTGTTAATATTGTATCATAGAATAAAATACAAATATAAAATCAACAATCTCTCAAATTTCTATATTTAATATTTCATTGTTGAAAATTATCTTATATGTTTTTGGTTAAAAAATGATTATTGCTTTTGTTTCTTGAATTGATATTGTAATTAAATGTGTGAAATTTTCTTACATTTAGTAATATGTTCCACATAAACATAGTAACTACAAAATATTTATATGTAACAGATATTGAAATATAAGTAGTATAAAATCTAAATTAGTAACAACGAATCCCTTATATCGAACTTAAAATTTGTGTTTAATCAGTTATTGGGATATATAGAAGAGATCCATGTTTTATGATTGTGATTACTACAACTTTTATATTGTGTTAGTAAAAATAAACTAACTTATCAAACATTTATGTTGATGATAGGAGAAAACCGAAGAACATTGGAATTAACGATTTGTCATTTTTCTTCAACGAAATATTATGTTTTAATTATGGAAAACGCCAAGTTCGATTAACGTATTAGCTAGGTTGAAGTGAAACAAATCATATAATGGAAAACCCCAAGTTTAATTATCTACAGTGTTAAATATTAAAAATTCACATTCATCTATAAATATTAAAATTAAACACTAGAATAATAAAAATAAAAATAGTAATCGGCGAAATAGATCTCCAAATTGTTGTTACACATGCAATTCTCCAGTTTAATTCGGATCACCCATCATTTTGCCAGGGGTAATTCTCCATTTTAATTACATTTCTTCAATACTGGAATTAAACTCCAATTTCGTGATTACGAACCCTAGAAATTATTAGGGATTTCAAGGGATGTGAAAAGAAAATAAAATAAAGAAATTATTAAAAATATGGAGCAAATTGTGTACACAAATCCAGAATATTGAAGATTAAAAACATGTAAATTATTTTCACAAACAAATCTGGGAACAAAATTATAGAAGAATAGATGAACATTATGAAGAACAATGGAGGAAAGAGAAGAACCATATAAATTGGGGATTTGTGAAACGAAAATTTAAAAAAAAAAATCGTAAAAAAAAATCAAATTGATTCCATAAATTCATAATATTAAAATTTTTGACATGTAAAGTATTTTATAAACCAAATTTGGATAAAAAAATTAAAAAAAAATAGGAACATGAAGAACAAGAAGAATGGAGGAAAGAGGAGAGAGAAGAGAGAAAATTAGACCCAAAAGAAGCTGGTTGAAATGAGAGAGTGGGGTGGTTGGGAAGAGTGAGTCCAAGTTTATTTGAAATTTGAAAATAAAATTTCAAATGAAAATTCAAATTTTTGTTTTTATTGACTCAAATGAACAACCAATGAAAAGATGACACATCACTGCTGTATGTCTGGCTCACATACACTTAGTGTATGTGTAGCCTTAGCCTTGGGTTACAAACTAAAAAGATACCTCGAAACAATCGCGTTGTCTCAACCACTAGACAAGAGCTAGATAAAGGCAATTACATTCCGGCCACTTGATCCTATACCTTGATGTGTCATATATATACATACCTTCCAATTCATTAATTACAAGCTTACATCATACATTTAAGATCTTGATTAATGTGTGTTAGAACTCATTTAACATACATACATAACATACAAAAAATTAGTACTCAAAGTTAAATCAACTTAAATAACAAGTTTTCACCGTAACAAACTATTCTCAAATTAATTTGTACACATCCTTAAACAAGACACAAGAAGTAATTACGTACAATTATTATACGAACTACTATTATTGGACTAAAAAGGCTGTTACAGCACAATGAATTATCACACCCTCCATTTGCAAAACAATTCATTACGTTAAACATGTCAATATTAAAATATCAATTTATGAATTAATTAATATTATTCAATAAAGTTAGAAAAAGTAGAAATGTTGTAAGTTAAGAAATACAAGTATGAAACTTCATACTCACCTCCCACAAACAGAAGTACTCAATATTTTAACATGTCCTAATCAACATTTTCTTCCTATATATATAACCTCTTCCAATTTCATTCTCTTCATAACAAAATTAAAGCCTTCTCTTCTTAACTCTTTTTTCTCTCCTAAAATATTCATAAACACTTAAGCCAGAAAAACAAATTTCTCTATTAAAAATGGAACCCAAAATAGAAAGCATAACAAGAAAAATATGGAAAATAGTGAGTGTGGCTATTTTCATGATAAAGAAAGGCTTAAGCAAGAAGAAGTTACTCATGGATCTCAACTTTATGATGAAACGTGGCAAAATTGCCGGTAAAAAAGCCCTAGGAAACCTTATGTTCCACCACAACACTCAGGGCGGCGTTGGTGGGCAGTCTAACCTCACCAACGACGCCCGGGAGTACGAGTTTAGTTGTAGTGACACACCCTTATACCGTCACTACTTCACCAACAAAAGAAAAAATCAACGTCACCAAATAAATGACCAATATTACATGCCCTACCCTTTAACCTTGGAAGATGGTCAAAATGTTAACCTAGAGGATTTTAACAGCGTGCTAGAAATGATGTTACGTAATGAAGAGGCTGGTGGTGGTCTTTCGGCCCCTTCGCCGGCTTTGCCCGGTCTAGGATTTGGACGGAGCCCTACGGTCCGGCAGCTAAGGATAACGGACTCGCCGTTTCCGGTGCAAAATGTGGAGGAGGACAAGCATGTAGATCAAGCTGCTGAAGATTTTATTAAAAATTTCTATTCACAACTTAAGCTGCAATAATAGTGTCAAATTATTTCCAAATGAATAATTTGATGAAAATTTTGTTGAACAGACGTACAATTTTAGAGTAGGACCTTATTTTTTCTCTTTTGAGACAATTTGTCTAAAAATATGTTTTATTTCATTGCAAATTTGTATTGTATGGAAGTATGACATAATAAAAACATTTACTTAAAATAAAATAACAAAGTATTAAATACATCCGATCCTTAGCATGTACTCCGTAAGATTTGAGAATAATATAAAGTACTCTCTACAGTCTACATAATAATTTATGTGTATTATTTTATGTGCGGCTATATTTTTTTATTTTTTGGTGTTCCACCCGGTTTACCCTTTAGGCTAATCCGAATTCGGGGATCAGTTCTGGGTGGTTAGGTTCCAGTCCCCTTCCGATTGTTATTGCGGGGGATCGAACACGAGTCCTCCCTACCAAGTGTAGTCCTAATCACCACTACACCAATAACCAATTGGTTATGTGCAGCTATATAATTGTACTATTTGGTACATTTCTTTACTACGAAATAATTTGGGTTTTTTACCTTTTTTCTATTGGGGAAGTTTTCTAAATAATTAAGTTTGCCAGAATTTGTAGCATTGAGTAAAGTGTATGTACTAGCTAGTCAATTACGGAAAAAGTGATGAAAATCAAACATAGTTGGCCATTTAACTTGCTCCTTTCATTTAGGAAAGACCCTTATTGGGTCTTATGATTTGGGTACCTTTTGTGAAATTTTTTATAGGGTTCTTTTAAAAGGTTTTAATTTTCATACCGAATTACTTAAATGATTGCACTTGTTTTTTATTTTTTATTCACTTTAGGTTTTTCTTATGGAACATGCTAGATTCATTATAATTTGTACCGAGTATTGTCGAAATGATATCGGATTTTATGTATGGTTAATCAAATCCTCAAAGGTGTCCATTGTAAACACATAAATAGGTAAGGGTATTTAAGGAAGAGAGCATTATTATTATACCAAAATATGCAAGAACTTTAGTTGCCCTTTCATGTATACATAATTTTTCATAAATTCTTCATGAATAAACTTGAGAAGATCAATTATACAATTACATGTATAAGTTTATTTTCCATTCTAAAATTATTACTTAAAAAAACAAAATGAATTAACAATATAATGACTATTAAATATAACAAAGTAAATAAAAGTCTATTATGATTTACTTAAAGTTGCGGCATTTATACTTAATATCATCTAGAAATATACACACTAATAAGAAATTAATTTTATGACCATTTCAAAAAGTTGTCACCACATTCAAAAAAGAGGGTCAGAGCGAGCTTTATGCGCCAAGTTTCAAAATTTACCACTTTGCTCTCTTTCTATGCAAAGCCTACAATTCTCTTAATCAAATCTTTTAGTTTAATTTATAAATATAACGCTTGTCATGTTATTATTGAACAATAATCATGTTTACATCTTTATCTGAATTTAATCGGTACATTATTATTAGTTAAATTTACAATATTATGGTGAACAATATTTTTACAATTGTACATAGAAAGAAGGCATATTTAGTAAGTAAAGAAATTGGTTTTTATTTTAAAAAATAAAAAATAAAAAATAAAAATAATAAGGATTGAAAATAAACAATAGGATCCGCCTTATTACTATGTTCTGAAAGTAAGAGAGCATATCAAGCTCAAAATAAACAAAGGGTACTTTAATAAATAAATTCAATTATGTGGCGTTACATAAAAGAAGAAAACGGGCAAAAATAATTGTGTCATGCCTTCTTAGCTGTATTAACTAGTCACTTTTTGCCAAGGTAACATAAAGCACTCCCACAGCAGCCTCTAAAACACTTGAGCAAGCAAAGTAAACATATCTCGGTATTCTTTCAGTTCAAAATTAATAGTCATATTGATTATTTTATAATGATCAACGTTAAAGTTTCTCTTAAAATAAAAAGGACTTTATTTTGATAGATTTATTAATAAATTACACTTATTTAAACTCAGTACGTGATAAAATTTTAAAATAGCACAAATATAATTAGCAATTTTACGGTTCAATTCTTGATTAATTATAATAGCCTATCTATAATAATGTACACGAACATTTCATTTTTCTGATGGAGATATGAAAAAAAAAAATGACTCAATTGAACCTATAATCATGTGGATTTGGTTCCTTTAATTAGAAGAAAGGATAAGAGAATCCCGCTTTATGAACTTAATGCTAGCTTAACTAGTTATCAAAATTAGGAAAATCTATCCATATCAATCGTGAATTATATCTTTGCATTGTATCTAATTCTTACATACATTTGGGCATGTTCTCTTACGTTGAAATTCAGTTCAGTTCAGTTCAGCTCAGTTCAGTTCAGTTCAGCTCCTAATTTCTTTCTCTTATAAAATATTCAGTTCAGTTCAGTTTAGCTCAGTTCAGTTCAGCTCCTAATTTCTTTATCTTATAAAATATTCATTTCAATTCAGTTCAGTTCAGTTCAGCTCAGTTCAGTTCAGTTCAGCTGAGTTCAGTCAATGAGAACAGGCCCAAAATTCAAAGGGTTGATACTCTCAAAAGTTGGTAGATGTTGAAAGAATTAAAGCTTACAAAAGGCCAAAGATTAATATTTTTCTTTTCTCTTTATGTACGTACAAACTAGCTTCAAGTTGTCAGAAAACATGAGACCATTAACTATCATACACCAACTAATAACAAATAATTAACAAAAAAATTAACACTGTCATACACAAAATCATGTATAAATGGATAAGGATAATGTGGCTAATAACCGATCAAGTATGATAATTGAGGGATCTTTGCTTTTCCTTATCTGTTTATCCGTGTTACCTCAAATAATACGATTACTTTATTCTTACTTAGCATAATTGTATGAGCTCCTAAAAAACTATGAACTTATTCTTCTTTCCACTTGTCTATTTGATTCTCTGCCAAAAGAACACATTGGCCTTACTTTTCTTGGAATTTTAGTGGGAATTTAAATATACTTAACAATGAAGTACTTACATTAGGAGGATAAACATCATCAACATAGCATGAATCGTCAATTTTTTTTAATTTTTTTTTTTTTTGATGGGGTATACATGTTAAACTATGTAATTAATCAAGGTGACAAAGTGTGTTATCTGTGTTAATTAAGGTTTGTTTCATCTTATTTTAGATTTTTCTTAAAAAAAATTAAATATTTGCATATAATATAAAATAAAAATAAGTTTAGATAATGTAATATACAATAAAATAAGGGTCTGTTCTCATACGATTATTTTCAATTCAACTCTAATAAGTTCAGTTTATGAGAACATGCCCAAATATCAAACAAAAAAGTTTAGAAAATTGAAATAAAATAATCTAGTTTTAACTTTTAAGTTTTAAGTTTAGTAGATATTGTTAGAGGATCAACTCAATCAAAAGCTTAAATTGATGATTGAGGCCTAGGAATATATTTTATGCTCTATCAGATATCAAGTAAAGAGAACATAGAGCCAAAATCACCATCAAATAAACATGAACTTCATTTAATGCATGTATCATGGGGATCAATACTTGTCAACCTTAAAGTCTTAAAGTCCAAGTAAAAATTAAGGCATTTTTAGGGGTGTTTATTGGTTCACACAATCATACGATATTGGTACATTATTTACGGGTTTAGAATAGTTAAAACTTATTCTTTATTTGATTTAGTTTAGTTTGTGATTTTTCATGGGGTGGGTATAGTATGAGTATGACTTATACAAACCGTCTAGGTATCAAAATGAAAGACTGCATTTTATTCCTTAATATAACCCAAACTCATAGAATAGGAATCAAGTTCTAATCCTATACCATTCTAGCTTAGTTATCACTCTTCACTCCAAAATCTTACTGGTTTACAAACCAAACATATTCCCTCATGTAATTCCTAAAGTTAAAAATAAAGCATAATAAATAGACTATGATTTTTGTAAAACAGTGATTAAATTAGGAAATTTATAGAGGGCTTTTAAATTTGTTGGAAAAATACAAGTTAATCTGCCAGATTAACGAATTTTTGTTAATCTGATGACATTTTTGTAAATATATTAAAAAAATAGGGTCATTTATTCAGTACTTTTGGTGAGCTGTCCAATTACTGTTTGCTTTTTGCTTTTACTGTTTGATGAGAAAATTATACATGTACCCCTCAAGTAGTACATGAAAAGACGCATATACCCCTCCACTGGTACTTAAAAAGACAATTATACCCCCAGATAAACAAATTTTGTTTATCTGGAAATTGACTAGGTATTTCTCATAATTGTTCTTGTCCTTTAAGACAGAAAAAAATATACTTCGTATATATATAACAACTGCAGCCTATTAATTTTATAATTTAAACCTCTACAAGCACCATTGTTTCGACATAATAAAGTCTATAAGTACCAAACATGCTCTTAGTTATAGTGTGGCACAAAATACTTCCTCCGTGAGTCCGTTTTAATAATAATATTACAACAATTGGACTTTTATATTCATCACTCTTATTTGATCATATAATACGATTTATATGTTAAGTAAAATATAGTTTTTTGGTGTCATCTCACAAAATACTTTCACAATATCAACTTTTTATAATTTTTACTCTTATATAATTGTAGACATTTGACATATAAAATATGCTTAGAGATGCATAATTTCATCATTGTTGCTATATTATTGGAATGAAGAAAGTAGACACTTGTTACATGTCATTGGACAAGAGGCGTACACTCGTAGTAACTTTTTGTTTTTTTTTAAGGTAAAGAGAAAGACTCAGACCGTATCTTAACCCTCATGATTTTTTTGGTCGGATATTTACAGGTCAGACACTCAAAGAGTGAAGGGGAAGGGTACAAGATCCTCATCTTAAAGTGCCTCAGCTCTAGTGGAGATTAAACCCCCAACCCCAAAGTTGAAAGGTGACAATCGTAACACTAGACCAAGCTAATACCCGTAATTATTGGCGTACACTTTCTCAAACCTTACACGTACGTATACGTACAGCCAAAGAGTTCATCTCTAATTTGATAGCAATCAGCCAGGACACGTGGTAACACTCTTCAAGCAAGAAACGTTTTCTAACCAATAATGAATTCAAGTGTTTATAATTCGAAAAGGCAAAGGTGAAAATACGAACTGCTTTGCCTTAAAGGTGATTATGGCCGGTTTATAGAAAGCTTAATTTGCCTAATTTCTGCAGAGGCCAAGTTACTTAGAACAAGAAATGCTCTAATAATGCTCACTTTGTAATTTCGTATTACTTTGAATAAAGAGTTAGTTGTTAATATATTTGAGAGAAGAATTATAGGTATTTAAAGTATGACTCATGGATAGAAGTTATGGTCGTTTTAGGAAGAACTATAAAAATACTACAGTAGGCTTACAGGCATGCGCAAGATAAAGGGGTCCATCCTCGCTCAAAGCTCTGCTTCCCAATGTTCGCTCCTTTTGTCATTCGACGATGCTTTCATTAAGATACAACTTAGCCATGACATCTATTATTGGCGTACTACTTGGGGAATAATTATAGAGTTTCTTTAGAATTTTGTGTGGGTGTTGTAAAAGTTAGGGTATGTTCTCTTACGTTGAAATTCAATTCAATTCAGTTCAGCTCCTAATTTCCTTCTCTTATAAAATATTCATTTCAGTTCAGCTCAGTTCAGTTCAGTTCAGTTAAGTTTAGTTCAGTTCAGCTGAGTTCAGTCAATGAGAACAGGCCCTTACATTTGTGTTAGTTGTATCTCCTTCAATTCATTATATCTCTATTTTTATCCTCCATGAAAGTTTTAATAAGAAAATATATTATTCCTTTACTTGTGGAGTAGCTCATGTTGACTGAACCATGTATATGTGTACTTTTATAACCATACGTATAAGTTTTGTATATTATGTTTGTCCATTTTTCACACAACTCAATCACAATACCCAAATCAATTGGTTAACTTTAATTTCATATCACAATAATGTTTTGGTTCAAGTATATCCTATTAACAATTTTTCATTGGAAGAGACGTAAATTTTGATCATAAAAAATTTGTTATTATATAAGAATTTTGATCATGAGTATGAACGGTATGATTGTTGGCTTGTTGCCTTGTTGGAGGGCGAAGTTAAAAAAAAAAATTAAATAAAAGGAAAAAAATAATTAAATAAAAAAAATAAGGAAGAATTTAAAAACGGAAGCCCATGTAATCATCAAACCTAAACCCACTTTCTAAGTATGGGCCATGGAACAAAACCTGTCAAGCCTATAGTCTGAGTACTAACATATACCAACTTCATTGTATGATTGTATATTACTCCCTCTCTTTCATACTAATTAAAGAGTTTTTTTTAACTATGTTTGTCAATACATGATTCTATAATTATTAAAATTTTATATTATTAATACAAAAATTTATTAAAAAAAAACTATCGATATTCTGAAAATTTGCATCAAAATATTTTTATACATTAATTTAAAATATATAAAAACTTAAAACGTATCGACTACTGTAAGTAACAAATATATTAGAATCTCGTTTCACCTTTATTTATTTAAAAATATACGAAGTACCTAATTTATTAAGCCTCGCTTTTTTTTTTTTTAACAGTTACTCAACTACCGTACTTTAATTTACTACTCGTATAATATCTTCTTTTTTACGTCAAACTTTAATTAACCAAATCTTACAAATTTTTTTTACAACATTCCTAAAACTATGTGCAAAAGTCAAATGAGATTTTAATATAATTCAAGTTATAATCAAATTATATTAAAATCAAATCTGGTATGAACACGCATGAGAACTTTTACTTATGTATAAATTACCAATTGAAGACGCTTAAATCTCCTACTAATATAATGGAGTACAACACTCAATAAAACAAAATTTGAAAGTGATTGTAAACTTTTTAGAGAACTAAGTTGATAACAATATTCAATCATAAATTTAATTTGGGAGGGCAAACCACCATTTTTTTTAAATTCCCTTTTAAAAGTAGGAGTGACCACTTAAAAAATTTAAACCGCAATTGATTTTAAAAAATAAAAAAAAAAAAACTATTCCTCTACTTTAACCCTTTACGTAGCTTCATCTACTTCTACTCCCTATAAATACACCCACTTCTCTTTCTATTTTACCATATTCTTTAAACACTTTAATAATCATTCCTCTCACAAATACACTTGTTCTCTCTTTTTTCTCAATCAAAAATCTCTCAATCTCACAAATCAAACATCAAAATCCAATCTCAAATTAAACCCAAGTTAAAAAAGATGGAGCAAAATCTACCAATAATCACAAAAAAGCTATGGAATAAGGTAAAAATAGCCTTTTTCATGCTTAAAAAAGGTATCACCACCAAGAAGAAATTTCTCCTAGACATAAATTTAATGATGAAACGAGGCAAAATCGCTAGTAAACTTGCCATTAAAAACATTTTATTCCATCACTACCACCATCACCACCACCGCGACACCTTCCCCTCTAGGGACGGCGTATTTGAACCATCCCACCTTCAATCTAGCCCTACCGACTACTCTCAAGAGTCCGACGTTAGCTGCACCAACACCCCCTTGAACCCCAACCACAACCTCGCCAACAATAAAAAAGGCGGTCAATATCAACACCATCGTAACAACAGCTTCTATTACACACCCCTAAGGACTTTTGATGGTACGGATAGTTTTGAAGCTATTTACAAGGTGCTAGAGGCCGTGTCACCTCTACCTAGCAAAGAAAAACGCGGTGTCCGACAGCTAAGGATTACGGATTCACCATTTCCTTTGCAAAGTGAGGAGGGTTATGATCGTCGTGTGGATCAAGCTGCCGAGGATTTCATTAAGAGGTTCTACTCCCGGATTGAAAAGCAAGTTTACGATTAATTAACATAACAATGTTGTACGAGTATTTGGATGAATATGGCTCTTCTACTTCAATTAATATGTTGCCGAACTCTATGGTTGAACTATTAGTTGTTGTATAGTACATGGAAGTTGTACTAATAATAGATGCAAAATTGCACAAATGTAGATTTAGATGTGTTAATGTCCAAGTTTTTTATATAGGGCACGAGATATTCTAGATCTTTGGAGTAAGCTAGCTAAATTATTATTATGTCATTTTTTTTTTCTTGTAATTATGGCATATATGTATAATATTGATAAAATAATGTTTTCTAATAGAAAATGAGGTTTTTTTTTTTTTGGAATTTACTTAGTTTATTGATAAATTGCACACAATCAAATAAATTTACTTAGGACATAAGATTGAGTTAAAAAATTATTGATTATTGTAATGAAATAAATCATCCTAAAAAAAAAAAAAAAAAAAAAAAAAAAAAAAAAAAAAAAAAAAAATCACCTTTCACTACCAAGTTAGTTAAGGGCCAAAAGCATCAAACATGAAAAAGACACCATGGACCACAAGCACTAGCCAATATTTTAATCATTGTACATCTTTTATGCTTTATTGCTTTATGCATGAATTCAAATTAACTACTCCATTCTATTGTGAAATAATTGACACATTTAAAGTTAGCACATATGACAATTTACTAGTCTAATTTGACCTTAAATATATACTTGTATCATTAATATAATCGTGAAAAAAATTAAACACATTGATATTATTATGAAACTTTATGTTAATACATATTTAACAATATATTTCATATAAAATTTATTTTTTATACGCTACTAAAAAGGGCTATCGATGTTAAATATATGAATAAAGAAAAAAGGCTAACATGTCATTATTTAGGAACCAAAAGAGTATAACCTTATTTGAAAATTTATTTAATGCTATTTATTTATTGGATCTTGTGTGATTTTTCTCATATAAAAATATATAATAATAAAAATAATTTTTTAAAGGAAAAATTGATTCTAATAATCCCACATTTGGTCAGTTCGCTATTAATAATCCCACCTTTAGATTATTATTTAATAATCTCACCTTTATAGGTGATCTTCTTGTATTGGTCCTTAACCTGTTGGTGACCGGTTTTGAAAGGTTAGGATGCCACGTGTTATTGTTTAATTGGTTGAAAAATAAAAAAAAAACTGAAAAAAAAAAAACAAAACTGAAAAATGAAAAAAACGAAACCCACCACCTATCCCCACCCACCCCCACCGTGAACCCTAACCATAGCCTAGCCCCACCTTAAACCGGTCGGCCGCCACCATAAACCCCCGAAAACGGCCGGCCGGAACCCCCCATTACCGAGTCCACCCCCGATTACCAAAATCAACCCCTCGAATACCACCCTTGAAACAACCATAACCACTACAACCACCATCCTATTAACCCCACCCAGCCACCGAAACCCCCCTCTAACCGCCTAAAACACCCTCTAACCTTCAACAACCACCGAAAAGCCCTTAAATCTTACCCTAATTCAACCTCAAGCCATCCCTTGAAATTGATTCATTGAATTTTTTTTTATTCATTGAAGTTAAGGGTTCATTTCGATGGTTTTCGTGGGTGTGGGGGTTGGAATCGAGTCGGTTTTTGCTAGGTAAGGGTGGGAATGGAGGTTTCGGCGGTGGATATGGGGTTCGGCGATGGAGGAGAGGACGCCGGAGGTTGGGGTTAGGGTGGTCGTTGGGGTTGGCTGGATTTTAAAATTAGGCTTTCTTTTTTTTTTGACCAATTATTTTTTTTTTTTTACAGGAATTTTTTTGACCAATTATTAAGTGACATGTGTCACTCAAATTAAAATTAAAAAATTATTTACCTAAAGTTCAGGTTACCGGTCATAAGGGACCAATAGAAGAAGATCCCCTATAGGGTGGGATTATTAGATAATAATCTAAACGTGGGATTATTAACAGCAAATCGGTTAAAGGTGGGATTATTAGAAGTAATTTTTCCTTTTTTAAAAATAAATCTCATTTTGATATATAATAATGTACATGTAAATTACTCCATGTTCTATGATTGATTGTTGTTTTACTTCCTCCTTATTTTTTAGTTGCATCACTTTTGTAATTGCGGACTTCTAAACAATATATGGAGTACATAAAGATACAGAGAAAGATTAAAGAGAGTCCATGTGATAAGAGAGAAATAAAGAGAATAACAAATTTTTATATGTGGCTGGTCACACCATGTGGATGGGGTTTTTCGAGTTCTCCGATTAAGGGTTACTAGAGTTTTTTTGGTATGTTGTTACTTGAGGGGTTACTCGGTCAGGGGTTACTTGAAGGTTTACTCGGTCAAGGGTAACTCGAGTCATTCAGTCAGGGGTTACTCGAGTTATTCGGTCAAAGAGTTACTTATACTGAGTAACCCCGGCCACACAGAAAAATCCTCCAAAGAAAATTTATTACTCCGTAACTAAAAGAGTAAGTGATGCATCTAAATTAAAACTTCTAATTTTAAAAAGTGATGCATTTAATAAAAACGGATGAAATACATAATAAAATAAAATAAAATAAATAATTAGAGGGGGACCAAGAAGGTGCAACTAGCTCCGATTTCCTATCAAAATTAAAGCAATTGAATCTGCATATATAGCTTTGTTTTGAATACACTTTTATGTTGGAAAGTGATAGTAGCTTAACAATCACAATGCACACTGTACTTGAAATAGTACTACTACATACTCGTATTAGTCGTATAGTTCTAATTCTTTATTATTACCATAGTAAGAGAATCATACCACATAAGTACAAAGGTACATATTCAACGAACATATTCAAGGTATTAGTAAGAAAGAACATGGAAGGATCCTTTCTCGATCTTCTTCAATGTTAAGGGTCTATGTTGTTCACAATATTATTTAAACACATTTCAAACAAAGTACAACAAGATACAAAGTTAATTTAAGTCCTTACATACTAGTATACTTCTTCCATTCTATTAATATTGCAACAATGGACTTTTTGCACTATTTATAACTCTTGTTTGACCATATAATATAATTTATATGTTAAGCAAAATATAGGCATGTGGGATCTTGTTGAATTCATCTCATAAAATACTTTCTTAATATCAACTTTTTATAATTTTTACTCTTACACAATTATAAATTTTTAGCATATAAAATGTGATTTGGGATGCGTAATTTCCTCCTTGTTGCAATATTAACAGAATGGATGAAGTATTATTTAACAGCTATAATTAGTCCTAATAGGATAAGTTAGACTAAGATTAAATGGGTTAAGTTTTTTTTTTTTTTTGAATAAAGATTGTTTCAAAAAAAATAGAGTTAGAATAAGATTAAACGGGTTAAGTTTTTTTTTTTTTTTTTTTAATAAAGAAAGTTTCAAAAAAAAAAAGTTATACAAAATCTAGAAAGAGATTAAATCTAATACTCGTAAATGCATGACAATTGAATCAATAAAAACATCATTTCAGCAAAGCTACGATCGTTGTTTCAAATTGTACATTCTTCATACCCTCTTTCATATCTCTGTGATTTACAGGCTTCTTCGACAAGGAGGTCTATTGAACTGTAGTAGACGTGAAGAAAATATTCATCTGATGATTAATCTGAGTGTAATCAAATGATTAACCTCTTTTTCAATCTCGCACAAATCTTTACCTATGAAATAACTTGTCATATAATAAACTCAAAAAACAAAAACAAAATTGGAACAGAACCCACCATAGGGGCACTTACTACACTCAAACTTACTATCGAAGTACTTAATACCTTCAAAGATTGTAGATTTATTGAATTCAATAACAAAAACATACATAAATTAAAGGGAAAGGGTTGGAAATAGCCAAATTTGCGGAGAAATTTGACTATTTCCGACCTATGAAACACTTTTTTTAAGAGCCCTAGAGATTAAGAAAAAAAATAGAGAGGAGACGACTAGGGTTTTTGTAACCTATAAATATTACTAGCAAGAGATAATAGGTTAAGTTTAAGTTCAACTTAGTGAAAAGCAATGGAATAATGTTATGCAGCTCCAACACATCCCTTAGATACTAATCTATCTACTTTTAATTTAATAATAAAAATTAGAGAAAAATTCAAAAGGGTTGGGTCAAAATCGATTCCTAGATATCCTAAAATCGAGAGGGAAGCTCTAACCACTTTATCTATCCCTACTCTCAAAGAAAAACTTATATTGACTACCTAGAGCCAAGGGGTGATTTAACTTATCCAAAATAAATATTAAAAGTAGGCAAAATCTAATTAATTAAAGGACATTTTGTGAGAAACTACCTAATAAAGCCTAAATTTTGTGAGAAACTACCTAATAAAAAAAATGTTGTAAGAAACTACCTAATAAAAGATAAATGTTGTAATATACTACCTTTGACCGAAATTCCACAGTTGACTTAATTTTAGGATGTTGATCCACCTTAGAACACCTCCAAAACCACCGTTAGGGTTATTTTTGAGGTGATTGGAGGATATTTCGAGTTGGTGAGGGTAGATTAGTGCTTTGGGATAGTGGTTTTTAGGGTTAGAGGTGGTGGTTTTGGGGTTGAAAGGTGCTTTAGATGTGGTGGAGACAATTTCAAGCAAGTTGTGTTAATTTTGGGAATGAAAGCGGTGGTTTTGGTAGTGTTTTGAGGCCGATCAACGGTGAAAATTCGGTATAGGTAGTATTTTACAACATTTTACCTTTACTTATGTAGTTTTTTACATCATTTTACCTTTATTAGGTAGTTTATTACAACATTTTTTTTATCAGGTAGTTTCTTGCAAAATATGGACTTTATTAGGTATTTTTTGACAAAAAACCCTTTATTAAACAACTAGTGTGTAGCATGGGTGTTGCACTTGATTGCCACTTTAATTAAACCTTGTGATTATTTATATTTAATATTTATGAGGATATATTGCCAATAACTACCATTTAAACGACTATTTTTCTCATAACAACAATCTTTTGAATTTTAAAAAAAATCACAAAACACA